ATGGGGGAGGTGGTCCCTGGGGACTTGAATCCCAGATCTTCCGCCTCACAGTTGTGTGGCTACTTCCTGTCCCTGGGCATCCTGCAGTGAGTTCTTCAGCACCCAGAGCAGCACCTGGCATTTCAGGTCCCAGCTTCCATCTCACGGAGGTGACACACCTGCACCAGCTAATTACCTTTCCTTTCAGGAAGAGATGGGAACCACAGATAGTATTTGGTTTCTTCACAACTCAGTGCTTGGCAAATTTTTAAAATTCGTAGTTAACTCTACCAATCCCTCCATACAGCAGCAGCCCCCAACCTTTTAGGCACCAGGGATCAGTTTCTTTCCTTCTTTTTTTTTTTTTTTTTTTGAGACAGAGTCTCGCTCTGTTGCCCGGGCTGGAGTACAGTGGTGTGATCTTGGCTCACTGCAACCTCTACCTCCCAGATTCAAGTGATTCTCTGCCCCAGCCTGCCGAGTTGCAGGGATTACAGGTGCCCACCACCATGCCTAGCTAATTTTTGTATTTTTAGTAGAGACGGGGTTTCACCATGTGGCCAGGCTGGTCTCAAACTCCTACCCTCGGGTGATCCACCTGCCTCGGCCTCCCAAAGTGCTAGGATTACTGGTAAGAGCCACCGCGCCCGGCCCAGGGACTAGTTTCCTGCAAGACAATTTTTCCATGGGCCGGTGGGTAAGGGATGCTTTCAGGATGATTCAAGCACATTACACTTATTGTGTGCTTTATTTCTGTTATTATTACATTGTAATCTATAATGAAATAATTCTATAACTCACCATAATGTAAAACCACTGGGAACCCTAAGCTTTGTTTTCTTGCAATGAAATGGTCCCATCTGGGGTAATGGAAGACAGTGACAAAAGGTGGCCAGTGCCCTCAGGCAGGTCCCACAGGGCATCCTGACACGATTTTCTTTTTCTTTTTTTTTTTTTTTTTTGAGATGGAGTTTCATTCTTGTTGCCAAGGCTGGAGTGCAGTGTTGCAGCCTTTAGCTCACTGCAGCCTCAGCCTCCCAGGTTCAAGTGATTCTCCTGCCTCAGCCTCCGGAGCGGCTGGGATTCTAGGCACCCACCACCATGCCCAAATAATCTTTTGAATTTTTAGAAGAGATGGAGTTTTGCCATGTTGGCCAGGCTGGTCTCAAACTCCTGACCTCAGGTGACAGATCATCAGGCATTAGATTCTCATAAGGAGCATGCAGTTTAGATCCCTTGCATGCGCAGCTCACAATAGGGATTTGCATTCGTATGAGACTCTAATGCCAATCTGACAGCAGGCAGGCCTCAGGGGGGAATGTAAGCGATGGGGAGTGGCTGTAACACAGGTGAAGCTTCATTCACTCACCTGCTGTTCACCTCCTGCTGTAGAGCCTGGTTCCTAACAGGCTACAAACCAGTACCAGCCTGTGGCCCAGGGTTTGGGAACCCCTGCCTCCATATTTATAAGTCTGCTGATCTTTGAAATTCTCAAATCAGGGAACTGGTGCTGAAGAGGTCTGAGGTTACTGTGACCCTTTCACAAGTTGATAAACTGAGGCTCCCTGACCTACGCCCATCTCCGGAGGCACCTGAGCTTGCTCTTTGGACCCTCCTTGTGCTGCTCCCACAGGAAAGAACACTTGATGTCCATGGAAATCTCGCTGAGCTGGCCCCGGCAGGGAAACAGGAATGGGGAGCTCTGGGAGCCGGGCCAACCCCATGCTCCTCCCCTTGGGTCTGAATTCCAGCCCTGGGCGAGGCACGGTGGCTCACACCTGTAATCCCAGCACTTTGAGAGGCCAAGGCAAGAGGATCACCCTGAGTCCAGGAGTTAGAGACCAGCCCGGAAACACAGGGAACTCTATGTCCCCTGGGCAGTGGGGACTCCCAAGGAGCCAGGACATGATCGGCCTTGGGTCTGAGAAGGTGCGGCAGGGATGCTAACAGCGACAATTGCAGAAATACCGGGCACCATTCATGGTTATCAGCTCGGTACCAAGGGCTTGGTATTCAGGCCTGCTCTGCAAAGGGAGGATGGTGCTACCACAGCTCACTGCAGCCTTGACCTCGCAGGCTCAGACGATCCTCCCACCTCAGCCTCCAGAGTAGATGAGACTACAGGCATGTGCCACCACTCCTGCCTAAATTACACACACACACACACACACACACACATATATATATATATATATATATATAGAGAGAGAGAGAGAGAGAGAGTGTGTGAGTGTAAAGAAGTTGGGGCTCTCTATGTTCCTCAGGCTGGTCTTGAATTCCTGGGCTCAAGCATTCCTCCTGCCTCAGTCTCCTAAAGCACTGCAATGACAGGCATGAGCCAATGCCCCTGGCCGACATCCCCTCCGTCTTTTTTTTTGGAGATGCAGTCTCACTCTGTTGCCCAGGCTGGAGCGCAGTGGCACGATCTCAGCTCACTGCAACCTCTGCCTCCCAGATTCAAGTGATTATCCTGCCTCAGCCTCCCAAGTAGCTGGGATGACAGGCGCGCACCCCCATGCCTGGCTAATGTTTTCTATTTTTACTAGAGACAGGGTTTTACCATGTTTGCCATGATGGTCTTGATCTCTTGACCTTGTGATCTGCCCACCTTGGCCTCTCGAAGCACTGTGATTAAGGTGTGAGCCACCTCACCCGGCCAACATCCCCATTTTACAGCTGTGGAAACTAAGGCTCAGAGAATTGACACTGTGAGTCCGAGATCACAAAGCCATGAAGTGGCAGAGCTGGAATCCGATCCCAAGTGTGGGGAGCCTCAAAACCCGGGACAGTTCCAGGCTTCGGGGCCTCCGGGCACTCCCATAACCGTTATCCAAGGCACCCCCGAGACCTGAGCAGGGCTGAGGAGGGGTAAGGCTGTGGCTCCCGGAAATCTGGTTAGCCTCCTGCTTCAATCCTTCTTGGTGGTTTCCGGCTGCCCTCGGAATAAACCCAAATTCCCCCACGTGACCTGCCAGGTCCCTGCCTACTTCTCCAGCCCCTGCGCCTTGCTGCTCGTCACTCACAGAGCTCTGGCCATGCAGGCCTTTCTGTTCCTCCAGCACACCAGGCTCAGCCTTACCGCGGGGTCTCTGCAAGTACTGTCGCTGTGCCCAAGACACTGTTCCCTCTGACATTCACATGCCTGGCTCCTCCTCCTCTTCCTCCCCATCTGAGTTCAAACACGGCTTCTGCCAAGAGCCCTCCCACCCCTACCATCTGGCTGGTCTAGATTCCACCCCTTTGCCATCATCCTCTGTCATATCATCTCATCATTTAATTTCCTCCAAAACATCATTCTGCCTATATGAATCTTATTTGTTCATCACTTGTCTCCCCTTACAATGGAACAAGAGCTCAGTTCTGCAGCCTATGAGGTGAGGGCTTGGGTCTGAATTCTAGCCCGGGGCCAGGCGCGGTGGCTCACACCTGTAATCCCAGCACTTTGAGAGGCTGAGGTGAGGCGATCACTTGAGTCCAGGAGTTAGAGACCAGCCTGGGAAACACAGTGAGTCCCGACTCTACAAAAAATAAAAAATTAGCCAGGTGCGGTGGTGGGTGCCTGTGGTCTCAGCTACTGAGGCAGCTGAGGCGGGAGGATTGCTTGAATCAGGGAGGCTGAGGCTATAGTGAGTTATGATCATGCCACTGCACTCCCGCCTGAGTGACAGAGAGCCTGTTTGAAAAAAAAAATTGCATAGTGAATGGTCTATATAAGTCATAATAAGGTTAATAAAAGGAATTTTTGTATAATTCAGTTGGTTATAATTATAAAAAGGTTATAAGAATCTTTCTAGAGATGTATCTGTAACATGTATCTCTAGAAATGCATCTCTAAAATACAGTAATACAAAACTAAACGATTGGTTAAAACAATATATTATTTTTTAGACGGAGTCTTGCTCTGTCACCTAGGATAGAGTACAATGATGCAGTCTTGGCTCACGGAAACCTCTGCCTCCCGGGTTCAAGTGATTCTCCTGCCTCAGCCTCCTGAGTAGCTGGAATTACAGCCACGTTCCACCACGCACAGCTAATTTTTGTATTTTTGGTAGAAACAGGGTTTCGCCATGTTAGCCAGGTTGGTCTTCAACTCCTGACCTCAAGTGATCTGCCCATCTTGGCCTCCCAAAGTGCTGGGATTACAGGCATGAGCCACCGTGCCTGGCCAAAAACAAGATTTTAATACAAATACTGACTTATTCTTAATGCAAGAAGTTTTTTAAATTTTTGAATTCCTTACTGTGTCTCTTTACCATTCTTCACATTGATACCTCTTTTGGAAAGGCCTTGAATGACAGCTCTCTCCTTCACCTTTTGTTGGCTCCTGTAACTTTTACTAATTGTCTAAAGTAAGGGAGAAAATTTTTTTGAAAATAGGCAAATAAGAAGTATCTTTTGAACATTCAAAAAAAAATTATGAATTCCAGCCCCTTCCAGCTGTGAGTCTCCTGGGCAAGTGACTTTACTTCTCTGAGCCTCAGTCTGCTTATCTATAAAATGGAAACAGAAACCCTTCCTCACTGTGTGGCAGTGAGAGAGTTAGAGAGAGATTTAGACACAGTAATGGCCGCGAAGGACGCGGGTGCTTAATCCCACTTGGCTGGCCCTATCACCTTCTGCAGACATTAGATGACAGTTCTGTTTCCTGGTCTTGCTGTACCCCACCCACCCCCCTCCATCCCTCTCCAGCCGCCACAGTTTCATTTCTTGGAAGCAAAACAGAGGTGTGCAGCCACAGCAAATTCATGGTCTGCCACAGGGGGATCTAGGGGTTCACCCACGCTACCTGATTTCCAGGCAAGCTGCCTGGGCACAGCAGTTCCAGACACAGGCCCACGTTCCAGACTCCGGACGGCAAGACTAAAGAGCGAGCCCACTTGGGTCTGTTTCATAACATCTCTGGCTTCATCTTCTTCATCTGCAAAATGGTTTCACATTCCTGGCCTGGGAGGCTCCCCCTTCTGGGAAGAGCCACATAAGCAGCACTCCTTTCTGCTGCTGTCCTGGTCTCTTCCTTTGTCCCCAGGCGGTGAGGTGGAGGGAGTCACAGGGTTGGTGCACACACTCCGACCCGATGGATCTGGGACCAGAAGGAGGGGCAGTGCTCCGTGCAAGGCAGGCTCGTCAGCTGAGCTCAACTCGCCAGCATCGACAGATGGCCCTGCGAGGAAAGGACAGAGCACAGTCAGACAACCGGGGAGCAAAGGACTGTGTCCCCAGTAAACAGCAGCCAGGCGGTTTACTGAGCACTTGTTATGTGCCGAGAATTCTAAGGACTCAGCTTGCATTTTTGCATTCATCCTTACAAACAACCACATGAGGTCTGTCTTTAGAGGCAAGGAAACCAAGGCACAGAGAGGTGACATAGTGGCCCACGTCACCAGCCACAAGCATGGGACCCAGGGAGGCACGCCAGGTCACTCAGCTCCACGGCCCTTCAGGGAAGAGGACTTAATGAGGAAATAAATGATGAGAGTGAGGCAGTGGGGCGGGTGAGGGGAAAGGAAGGGGTTATCCATCCCCACCAAGGGGACAAGGACAGGGGACAGGGCGGGTGGGCAACCAAGGACACAGGCCACTCACGGGAGACCTCAGGGGTCACCAACTGCAAGGGAGGGAGCGGGAGACAGGAGGAGAGTGGTCTGTACCGAAGACCCAGCCTGGATCCGCATGCTGGGCACAAGAGGCCCCTTCTGGAAGGTGGGGCCGCAGCTCTCCGCCGGCCGAAATGGTACGCTCCCTTTGAAACAGTAATCCCTCTTGCTGGAACCTCTCCTAAGGAAATTTTCCCTTTCCTCCTCCTGCTGGGGGCCAAGGAACAAAGCAGGTAGCTTGTCTCCTGGCGACCAGAGCTGGAGACCACACGCATTTCCTGAGAAAGGCAGGGCTGCTGCAGTGTGAGGCGCCTGCATCCCGCCCCAGCACCTGGATGGGAGGGTGTGTTGGGGGTGAGTGTAGGGAGATGGGGTGGGGGAGGGGAGAGCTACGGGGCACCGTGGGTGGCCAGTACCCCCCACTTGGCTCATGGTTCATAACCTATTCTGAGTTTATCTGCATTAACCATTCTGAGTTCACCCTTCATGGGCTGGATTTTTGTTTATGTTATTTTATGTGCAACTTTCTGTCAATGTAGAACCCAGCATCGTGTGTGAGAGTGTGTGTGTGTGTGTGTGTGTGTGTGTGTGTGTTTGGAATGTTTTTAATGGAGGCATAACCTATACAGTAAGAGTGCACTCATCTTTTTGGGTTTTTATTTTTTCTATTTTTGAGGTGGAGTCTCGCTCTGTCTCCCAGGCTGGAATGCAGTGGCATGGTCTCGGCTCAGTCAGCCTCCCCCACCCAGGTTCAAGCGATTTTCCTCCCTCAGCCTCCCCAGTAGCTGAGATTACAGGCACATGCCACCATGCCCAGCTAATCTTTTAAAAATTTTTTAGTACGGATGGGGCTTCACCATGTTGGCCAGGCTGGTCTCGAACTCCTGACCTCAAATGATCCACTCACCTCAGCCTCCCAAAGTGCTGAGATTACAGGCATGAGCCACCGCACCTGGCCCTTTTTGGTTTTCAGGCTAGTCAAGCGCAGTAGTGAGAAAGGGGAGAGAGCAGCAGGAGCTGGCTCTGTAACAGCCTGTGAGAACACTGGCTGAGATAACTTACTGCCTTCCACCAGCCAAGTGCACTCATTTAAATGTGCAGCTTGCAGGTTTTTTTCTTTAAGAGCCAGGGTCTTACTCTGTCACCCAGGCTGGAGGGCAGTGGCACGATCATGACTCACTTCAGCCTCCACCTCTTGGGCTTAAGCAATCCTCCCATCTCAGCCTCCCAAAGAGCTGGGACTACAGACTATGTGCCACCATGCTAGGCTAGTTTTGTCTTTTTAGTAGAGATGGGGTTTCACCATGTTGGCCAGGCTGGTCTGGAACTTCTGACCTCAGGTGATCCTCCCACCTTGGCCTCCCAAAGTGCTGGGATTACAGGCGTGAGCCACTGCATCTGGCCTTGATAGCTTTTTACACAGGTGTATACCATGACCGACATCAAATTCAGACCTTGGCTACTCAAAGTATGGTCCTCAGACCAGCAGCACTGGCCTCTCCAGAGAGCACCTTCTGAGTCAGAATCTACCTCAGGGAAGTTGTGTGCTTAGTAAAACAGGTGTGCTGGCCGAGATGCAGATGGAAGCCCCTAAGCCTGAGGGCTGATGCCTGGCTCCGGGGCCTAGAACAGGCTCTGAGGTGCTGCCACCTCACTTGTCACCGGCATTTGGAGACCCCGCATTTCACGATTCCCAGGAGAGGCTTTCCAAACCCATCAATTCATTGATGAGGGGAAGGGACCATCCCAAGTTCCCACAGCAGGTCACTAATAGATCCAGGGCACCAGTGGCCCCAACGAGGCCTCTTACCCCACGACTTTGCTACTTTGTACCTCAACCTACCCATCTGCAAATAGGCATGGAGATCTCCATCCAATCTGTCTCCCGTAGCGTAGGAGTGTACTGCAGACACTGAGTCTTGACCTCATGTGGTGGGGCTTCCTGGCACTTTCTCACGCATGTCCCTGCACTGTCTCACTGAAGCCACGCAACAAGCCTGTAAGGCAGGAACTGTTAGTATCACATTAATATCAACATATTAACATCAAGCTGGTGGCGGGGGCGGGGGGTGACTCATGCCAGTAATCCCAGCATTTTAGGGGGCCTTGGTCGGAAGACTACTTGAATCCAGGAGTTGGAGACCAGCCTGGCCAACAAAGCAAGACTCCTGTCTCTACAAAAAATTGGCCGGGCGCAGTGGCTCACACCTGTAATCCCAGCACTTTGGGAGGCCAAGGCCAGCAGATCACAAGGTCAAGAGATCAAGACCATCCTGGCCAACACGGTGAAACTCAGTCTCTACTAAAAATACAAAAATTAGCCAGCTGTGGTGGCCTGTGCCTGTAGTCCTAGCTACTTGAGAGGCTGAGACAGGAAAATTGCTTGAACCCAGGAGGAGGAGGTTGCAGTGAGCCAAGATCACACCACTGCACTCCAACTGGGGTGAGAGATGGAGATCCTGTCTCCAAAAAAAAAAAAAAAAATCCATAATGATGTCAATGGTATTGTGCCATTTTACAGAAGAAGAAATAAAAGCTCACAGAAGTTAAGCAACTTGCCCGAGAAGCTACAAAACAGGGCAGCCGGGACTTGAACCCAGACAGTCTGACTCCAAAGCCCTAAATAATTTTAACCTAAATCTCCAGGAAAATGAGCAACATAGGATGTCCAGCCCTCCGGCAAACTAGTTTAAGAAAGAAAGTGTCTTTCTTTTCTTCTGTACTTGGGGTGGAGGTGGGGTTGGGAGGATAAACAACAATCATGCATGCACATGATTTAAACAAAAATTCAAAGCATCCAAGGACTTCACAACAAAAAACTGGTTTCCCTCCCACCTCATTGCCCGAGGCAACCTCTCTGATTCATCCCTTGTGTGGCTTTTCAAGATACGCTCTGCACGACCTGACACACCTGGACACATACACTGCCTTTCCCACTCACGTGAACGTGAGCCCATTCTCCCTTCAGACCTGGCCTGGCCCTTACCGCCCTGCACTGGTACCCCATCAGCCCACAGAGGCGGGCTCATGGGTTATGGTGTGGGATGCCCTGCAACGCCCTGGCCACCCCACGCTGCTGCGCACACAGCTTGCGGAGCCAAGCCACCTCACGCTCCTGGCAGCGCTTCTGCAAGACGCCTCCCAGAGGCGGGATCGCCCCACGTGGGGGTGGATGATTTTGACCTTGACAGAGACAAGGGACATTTCTTATCTACCAGCCTTGGACAGGGCACCAGATGTCTGGTACCACCAGTGCCCAGATCCTGGGTGGGGAGGGGAGGGGCCCAGAGTAGGGAAGGACAGCCCTTTCTAAGAAACTGGAAGTGAAACCAGAGAAACGTGTGGGCAAGTGCATGAGGCTCCTCGGAGTGAGGGACCTGTCTGTGTAGCTACTTCTGCAGAAGAGCCAGGAGCCCCCCTCTCTCTCTGATCGTCCTGGGGTGACAGTCCTGTCTCCCACAACCCCCAGCCCTCTAGACTTGAGCTTTACATTGGGCCAGAGCCTGGCAGGTGGCAGAAGTTTCCCCGTGTCCCAACTGAAATTAACAGTTATACGGCACCATTGTATCAGGCCACGCTAGTGCCAACCTCCCTTGGGCCATACAGGGCCTTAAGTTTATTTATTTTTTGAGATGGAGTGTTGCTCCTGTTGCCCAGGCTGGAGTGCAATGGTGCAATCTCAGCTCACTGCAACCTCTGCCTCCTGAGTTCAAGCGATTCTCCTGCCTTACCTCCCAAGTAGCTGGGATTACAGGCATGTGCCACCACGCCTGGCTAATTTTTGTATTTTTAGTAGAGACAGGGTTTTACCACGTTGGTCAAGCTGGTCTTGAACTCCTGACCTCAGGTGATCCACCCGCCTCAGCTTCCCAAAGTGCTGGGATTACAGGCGTCAGCCACTGTGCCCGGCCAGGGTCTTAACTTTAAATTTTACAGACATTTATTTGAGTGGTAACTAGGTGCCAAGGACTGCTTCGAGCATAGTATAAACATAAGTCCCTTTCATCCCCAAAACATCCTACGAAGTGGGTGCTATTATTGCGTTCATTTTACAAACGAGAAACCTGAGGTCAGACAGGGTAAGCACGGAGTCCAAGGCAGTGGAGCTATGGAAAGGCAGAACCCTTGTCCTCACCACAGCTCTGTCCTCTCACAGGCGGGTCTGTGAAAGTACCCCATGCTGGGCCCCTCTTGGAGTTCCTGATCTTGTGGGTGGGAGGTGGGCCCGAGAGTCTGGGTTTTGTTTGTTTGGACCCAGGGTCTCACTCTATTGCCCAGGCTGGAGTGCAGCCTCGGATTCCTGGGCTCAATCCATCCTCCCACCTCAGCCTCCAGAGTAGCTGGGACTACAGGCACACACCACCACACACCCAACCAGTTACATATATATATATTTTGTATAGATCTGTTTTTCTACCAAGACACCAGGGGTTCAGTCTAGGTCCTGCTGCTTGCCACACAGAAAGCCAAAGACTGAGATGATGAGTATTGCCAAGGACGAAGGCTTTAATCCGGTGCTGCAGCCGAGATGGGAGTTCAGGCTCAAATCCATCTCCCCAACCAACTAAAACTGGGGGTTTATATAGCAGGGGAGAAATGTACTGACTGATGTCCAAGAAAACAGGAACCAGGCGGGGGCAAGGAAACAATCACGATGAATGAGGGCCCCTCGCCCCCCCCACATCTCATTGTCTGGATGTGGTGATCTGGTTACTTTCAGTTCTTTAGTACTTTTTTGAGATGCTTGAAGGTCCTTTCCTGATAAAGAACTCTGGTAAACAAATAAAAGCTTCAAGCTTCTCAGCAGGAAAGGTCAATTTCTTTGTTTACCCAAAAACCTATTTATGGAACTACTGAGTCAGTTTCAGTTTTGTCATGTTGCCCAGGCTGGTCTCAAACTTCTGGGCTTAAGCGATCCTCCCGCCTTAGCCTCCCAAAGTGTTGGGATGACAGGCATGGGCCACCATGCCCAGCCAAGAGTCTGCATTCCTAACAAGCACCAGGTAATTCTATACAGTCCATAGGAGCCTTTACTGGACAAGAGCTGGTCTTCAAAGCCCTTCAACCAGGGATTCTTCATGGACGGTCTCATGGTGCCATATGCATCCCACCGCCTGTGGCCTGGGTTCCCCAGTGACCCCTAACCTTGGGCACTTTGAAATAAGGGGCTGCCCACACACAACACACGCACCAGAATGTGCAAGGTGAAAATGACGAAACCAAGAGTGAAGATGGAGAGCAACTAGAACCCCCACTCACTGCCGCCATGAACATGAGTTGGTGCAAGCTTTTAGAAATCTGCTTGGCATAGATTTCCTGAGGCTGGGCACATACACAGCCTACTACCCCATGATCCCACTTCCAAGGATATGCCCAAGAGAAATGTGGTCGCACATTCTCCAAAAGACAAGTTCAAGAACACACATATCGGTGCTATTCATGACAGCTCCAGGCTGGGAGGAACAGAGTTTGTTGAAATCAGGTCAGATAAACCTATGATCCATTCAGACAGTGGAATATTATACAGCAGTGAGAAGGATTATACAACTGCACGCATCAGGCTGAGCTCAGCGGCTCAAACGTATAATCCTAGTCCGAGGCAGGGGGGTCAATTGAGCCCAGGAGTTCAAGACCAACCTGGGCAACTTGGCGAAACCCAATCTCTACAAAAACATACAAAAATCAGCCAGGCATGGTAGCCTGTGCCTATAGTCCCAGCAGAGGTGCAAGGATCCCTTGAGCCCAGGAGGTCAAGGCTGCAGTGAGCTCTGATCACACCACTGTACTCCAGCCTGGGCAAAAGAGTGAAACCCAGTCTCACAAAACAAATAAACAATTGCACACATCAACACAGTGAAGCACATGGACATCATGTTCAGAGGAGGAAGCCAGGCACGGAGGAGCACACATCACATGACTCTGTTTATAGAACATTTGGTCACAGAAACAGACTCTGGTGACGGAGTCTGATCCCCGGGGAGCTGGGGGGAGGGAGGAGAGGGACAGAATGGCAGGAAGCTGGCACTGTTCTCTATCTCAGTCCAGGTGGTCACCACACCAGTGTGTACTCGTGTACAATTCCATTGAAGATGTGTGCACTTTACTGCATACCATAAAAAAAAAATTTTTTTAAGACAGGGTCTCACTCTGTCACCCAGGCTAGAGTGTAGTGGTGTGAACTTGGCTCACTGCAACCTCCACATCCTGGGCTCAAGCAATTCTCCTGCCTCAGCCTCCCAAGTAGCTGGGACTACAGGTGTCTGCCACCATGGCTGGCTAATTTTTGTATTTTCAGTAGAGACAGGGTTTCACCATGTTGGCCAGGCTGGTCTGGAACACCTGGCCTCAAGTGATCCGCCTGTCTCAGCCTCCCAAAGTGCTGGATTACAGGTGTGAGCCACCATGTCTGGCCAATAATTTTAAAACCTTTTTGTATCTTTATTTTTTTTATTTTTTAGAGATAGGGTGTGGTTCTGATGCCCAGGCTGGAGTCCAGTGGCTGGAGGGCAGTGGCTCACTGTAGCCTCAAACTCCTGGGCTCAAGGGACCATCCCACCTCAGCCTCCCAAATAGATGGGACCACAGGTGTGTGCCACCATGCCTAATTTTTTACTTTTTGTAGAGATGGGGTCTTGATATGTTGAACTTGAACCCCTGGGCCCAAGCAATTCTCCTGTCTCAGCCTCCTAAAGTGCTAGGATTGATGGCGGAGGTGGCCCATCTGGAGTGGCCTCTGCTATCATGCCAGCTGCAGCAAGGAGGCATGGCTGGGGGTGCACATGCTCTGGAGGTGGCAGGAGCTAGGGACAAATGGGAGCCCTACCCCTTTCGAGTTGGTGGGGTAGGAGCTTCCCAGGCACAGCTGCAACTGCCCAAGTCATGCCTGCAGACCGGGGCCTCCTGCTTCACAGAGCAGGCAGGAGCCCCGTTTCCTCCCAGGTGTGGCTGCTGCCACCCAAATCACAGCTACAGACTCAGCCCCCCACCCCATAAAGCAGGCAGAAGCCCTTCACTCCCTGCCCCCAGCATAGCTGCAGTCACCCAAATTGCAGCTGCCGACCCAGGTATCCCTGCACTTTTGGGGGCCCAGGAAAGCCCCCCTGCCTTCATAGGCTTAGAAGTGCCTGCTCTCACTGCCTGGCTTCTCCCTGCTGTTAGTGCCCACCCTGATTTTGGAGCAAAGTTGGGGTTGAGCCTGGGTGTCGTCACAGCCTGGTCAGATGTGAACACCCAGGGCAGTGCTAACATGCCAGGCCCCTGCTGCCTCAGCCCCCTCTGGACTTTGGGCACCAACAAGCATAGATGGAAACTGAGGGGGAGCTGAGGGCAGCTTGGCACTGACCTGCAGGCACCCCTTGGCACTACAGCCTGAGCACTATGAATGATAGTAGAAGGCAGACAGTTTCTTTGGTGGAAGGGAGTGGGTCCCCAGTGAGGACCCACTTTCAGGCCAGGGAGGTCCCGAAGGCTATGAGCCAGGCTGCCAGTCCCATAGACCAGAGTGGGAACTTGTGGTGCCTTTTTTGGGCCCACTCTTGGCCACTGATGAACCATTCGGCATGTACTTCCTCCTCTCTGAGGCTCATAAAAGAACCAGGCTCAGCCAAAGCTGAGCAGATGTCATGTCAACCAGCTGCAGAGAGGAGCTACCCACTCCAGGGCCTCCTCTGAGCTATTCTGTCACTCAATAAAGCTCCTGTTCACCTTGCTCACCCTATACTTGTCTGTGTACCTCATTCTTCTTGGGTGGGACAAGAATTTGGGACCTGCCAAATGGCAGGGCTGAAAGAACTGTAACACAAACAGGCTAAAACACACCCCTTGCTCACCATGTTGTGGACGAAGAGAAGGAAAGAAGAGCTGTGGCCCTTCAGGGAACCCAGACCTGGGAGCCCAAGTCAGGGCTGTGACTCCCCCTTTGGGGCCCCGTGGTTCCTGGAGTCTCCAAACTTCCAAGCACCACTGCATTCCCCGGTGGCAGCTGTGGAAGCTGCCTGTGGTACACCTGGTCCAGTCACAGCCTCACAGAGAGCTGACCCCTGAACCGGCACCTGGGGCTCCCCGCCTGGTAGCAGCTGGTGCCCCTGACTTGCTCACACACCCCTCACTGCGTCATGCCTGCCTTGCCCTGTGGGATCCAGGCTGGTAGTGTGAGCTGAGCACAGCCTGCCAGGCTGAGTGGGCAGAATGAGCCCAGTGGGCCCAAGCAAAGCTCGGACAGAAGATGCCACCAGCCACAGAGTTTTCCAGCCATAAAAGCAACAGCCGAAGGATCATGTGACCAGATTACAGGTGTGACCCACCACACTAAGCCTGACAAAAGTTATTGTTGTGATAAAATACACATACGACTTGCCATCTGAACCATCTGAAGGGCACACTTCGGGATTTTAAGTACATTTCCACCTTGTTGTGCAACCATAACCGCCATGAAGCTCGAGAGCTCTTTTGATCTTACAAAACTGAACCTCTCCACCCATTAAGCAACTCCCATTTCCCTTTCATCCTGCCCCGGCAACCACTATTCCACTTTCTGTTTCTCTGAGTCTGACTTCTCCGGGTACCTCCTATGAGTGGAATCAAACAGTCTGTGTCCTTTTGTGACTGGCTTATTTCACTGTGTATAATGTCCTTAAGGCACATCCACACTGTCATATGTGTCAGAGTTCTCTTCCGTTTTAGGGCTGAATTATATTCCACTGTATGTTACCTTACTCCATCCAGGCTGCTATAACAAACTAGCATAAACTGGGGAGCTTATCTACAACAGAATTTTTTTTTTTTTTTTTTTGAGACAGAGTCTCGCTCTGTTGCCAGGCTGGAGGGCAGTGGCTCACTGTAACCTCCGCCTCCAGGTTCAAGTCACTCTCCTGCCTCAGCCATCTGAGTAGCTGGGACTACAGATCACCACACCCGGCTTTTTGTATTTTAGTAGAGATGGGGTTTCACCATGTTGGCCAGGATGGCCTTGATCTCCTGACCTTCTGATCCACCTGCCTCAGCCTCCCAAATTGCTGGGATTATAGGCATGAGCCACAGAGTCTGGCTCTGTTGCCCTGGCTAGAGTGCATTAGCGTGATCTTGGTTCACTGCAACCTCCACCTCCCAGGTTCAAGCAATTCTCCTGCCTCAGCCTCCCAAGTAGCTAGGATTATAGGTGCCTGCCACTACGCCCAGCTAATTTTTATATTTTTAGTAGAGACAGGGTTTCACTGTGTTGACCAGGCTGGTCTTGAACTACTGACCTTGTGATCCGCCTGCCTTGGCCTCTCAAAGTGTTTTTTTTTTTTTTTTTTTTTTTTTAAAGACAGAGTCTCATCCTATTACCCAGGCTGGAGTATAGTGGCGCAATCTCAGCTCACTGCAACCTCCGCCTCTGGGTTCAAGTGATGATCCTGTCTCAGCTTCCAGAGTAGCTGGGATTACAGGTGCCCACCACCACGACTGGCCAATGTTTGTATTTTTAGCAGAGACAGAGTTTCATCATGTTGGCCAGGCTGGTCTCGAACTCCTTCCTTCAGGTGATCTGCCCATCTCTGCCTCCCAAAGTGCTGGGATTACAGGTGTGAGCCACTTCGTCCAGCCAAAAATTTATTTCTTACAGTTCTGGAGCCTGAGACATCCAAGATGACGGTGCTGGCAGATCCAGTGTCTGCTGGGGGCCTGTTTCTTGGTTCACAGATCAGAAAGGAGGATTCTTGTTTGATCTTTAATGGTGGAAGGTGTGAACACATTCTCTGGGGATTGTTTTATAAGGGTGCTAATCCCAGCCCTCGTGACCTAATCACCCCACCTCCTAACACACCTTCACGTTGGGGGTTAGAATCTCACCATATGCATTGTGGGAGGGCACAAGCATTCAGACCACAGCATACGTATTACGTTGGTACAAGAGTAATTGCGGTTTTTGTCATTACTTTTAATGGTAAAGACCACAATTACTTTTGCACCAACCTAATATAAACCACATCATGATCACCCATTCACCCGCTGATGGGCATTTGGGTTGCTTCCACGTTTGGCTACTGTGAATAGTCCTGCTATGAACATGGGTGTATAAAAGAGTTTCTTTTTCCTTTACTTTAAAAAAAATTTATTTTTTGAGACAGTCTCGCTCTGTCACACACGCTAGAGTGTAGTGGCACACAATCTCAGCTCATTGCAGCCTCCACCTCCTGGGTTCAAGCGATTCTCCTGCTTCAGCCTCCTGGATAGCTGGGATTACAGGCATGTGCCACCATACCCGGCTAATTTTTGTATTTGTAGTAAAGACAGCATTTTGCCATGTTGACCAGGCTGGTCTCAAACTCCTGACCTCAAGTGACAGTGATCTCCCCGCCTCAGCCTCCCAAACTGCCAGGATTACAGGTGTGAGCTACCGTGCCTGGCCAAATTTTTTTATTTTTTACAGAGATGGGGTCTTGCTCTGCTGCCTAGGCTTAATCTAATTTTGTCTCCAGGAATTTGCCTATTCTGGACAGTTCCTATAGATGGAACCACATAATACGAGGTCTTTTGTGCCTGGCTTCTTCAACACAGCATGATTTTCAGGTTCACTCGTGCTGTAATTTG